AACATGATAAGGAAAGTGTGCTCACATATTAAAAAAACCCTAATAAATAAATGCTTTTCTTCCTTGGGAAAGGACTAAATGAAGGTTTGTACCATCCACCAGGCACACTTAAGGTGAAAAGCCCAAGGTCAAGATGATTAAAAAATGGAACTGAATGTCAGGAGAGAAATCTTCCTGTGATAGTTCTGGTTGCAGAGTGCTTTAGAGTTCAAGAATACTTTGGTCTTCATCAGTACAACTCACTCATGCACTAGGCTCAGGTCACTGCTCCTGAACTCACACGAACTTCTGGGAAAACAAAACACTTTGTAAACTCAAGTACTTATAGATGTAGAAGAGAATATTATACCGAGTGAGAAAAAAGGGAAAAGAGACTGGGTTATACTGTAATCTACAGATTATGTTATTCTATATACACAGCCATCAGCAGAATAAATCATGCTTGTTCAAGTAATTTCAATGTTTGAGACTTCACAGAAAGTGAGCAAAGTAACTTTCACCAGGTTAACTCAGAAAAGACAAAAATATCTGAAAAGTGACTAAGTGACTCTGTAATAAATTTATATATATATATATATATATATAAACACTCTTTGGTTCAAAATTAGTTTTCTTAGCTTGTTCACATTACTAAGATTTACCACCTTAATATCTGTTTAAACTTAGCAGATATTAACAGCATACAAAACATTTCCAGAAACCCTGTGCTGAAGACAATACCCTTTCTATCCCTTGGTATTTGTTTTTTTTCCTTCCTCCTCCTCTCACACTTTCCCACATTTCAGCCTGGAAGACACATTTTTGTGGGCAAGAGCAACCCATCAATTCCATTTGTGATCCTACTGGAGAAACTGCCATAACTGTGAACATATATTGGCAAAGCATACAACTCTAATTTAGTGAGAGAAAATATGAGTGCACTTAGTGAAGATTACTGCCTCAAACACTTTTTAAACTTTGCCCTCTGTATTGGCTCCTACTAATTATCTAACTGTGCAGAGGATACAATAAATAAAACTATTCTAAAACCTATCCACCCAAAGCATTTGTGCTCATCCCTTGCCCTCTAGACTCTTAATTAACACTTTCCCTCAAGCCAGATTTAGACTTTTTTTCTTTTAAAACAAGTCTGGTCCTCCTCTCTCTGAAATTTTTCAGTCTTACAACTAATAACTGTATTTGCTGTTTAATCCCATTAAGGTGTCTCAAAGATCAATAGTGTGTGTATATCAGATCAATGTATAAGCCATTTCCCAGTAAAATTGTCAGATATATTTCTTTTGCAACACCAGCAAAGTAATCCTGTGGTAACTCAATGACTTTTCCAGGAAATGGGCTATACATATTGCTAATACATATATTTGTTAACTAAGCATTTAAAAGTGGATTTACAAATTACCAAGCTATTTCTTTGACACCAGAGCTAAATTAGCAGTACCAAAAGGGCCAAAAAACCATTACTTTTTCCTTCCAAGTGCTTGTTTTACCTGAGCTACATATTGATCATGTTTGGTTTTGCGTGACTGAATTTTACTGGCTTTTCCCTGGGTTTATTGGGATATTTGAACTCTGCAGCAGCAGCTATGGTTTGATCAGGAGATTACAATCATTATTGCCTGTATGTTTGCTCAATGTGAGAAGGGAAACAGCATGATATATTACAATATGTCCAACCCCATTTCAGATGGATAATTCTGAAATTGCACACCTAGGAAGAAAGTATCCATCAATGAGATTTTATAACTTCTATGAAAATCAGAAGAAATACCCTCAATAACTAAAAAGATCACAAGGGTCACTGGGAATATACTATACCCAAGGGTAGAGGTCCACCTGTTAAATTAGTAGTTCCTAGATCAAAATAATTTAAATAACTAGACTAAAAATCAGATGCTTTTCTGAGTCTCCTCTTCCTGCCACAACCCTAGGACTACCTAGGACTAGAATGAAGCATTTTAGATTAGTGACTTTTCTTCCTCAACAACAAGGATATAAGTTACTGTGCACAAGGCTTGCTGCTGGAACCCAACAATGGCACTGATTTCAGACAAGAGCACACAGCCATCCCACAGTATAATAATTTCTCATTACAGTTTTATGCATACAAGCTAACTACTTTAATTAGGTAAGTACATGGAAATAATGGTGAGCAATTAAATACAATGCCTAATTACAGCTATATATAACTAATAACTGTGATTCTGGATAAATATGATGTTTGGCATAAATACTTAGACAACATGAGAAAAATAAAGTTCAGTCACTCATCTTGCATATGGGTTGAGCCTGTAGTCTGGATTTAATTTTCTGAAGATCTGACTACTAATCTTAGTTATTTTACATGCTTTTGCATGTATAGAAGTGTATTTATAGAGAGGTTTTAGTTGAATTAGTTAAAATTAGTATTTTAAAGCCAGTGAGCTTGATCTGATCAAGAATCTACTGAAACAGAACAATATTACCTCTTTCCCCTTTCTCAGAAAACATACAAAGGTGAACTGTTTTGCCCCCCTGTGCAACAATTAGCAAAACACCATTTCATTTCAAACTAGGTATAATCAGGATCCTATCAAAAGTATAATCATGATCCTATTATTAATCTTGGTTCTGAAATAAATTTTAGCTCAGCCCTTTGTGGCCAACTACTTCCTTGGCCATTTTCAGTTTTGGTGTTCTGACTATTCAGTCCTAGAAAATAATTCTTAATTATCGCTATTATAAAAACAGATTTAAAAAGGAATGGTGATTGCACACCATCTGGAAATATACTCAACTGTCAAAAGAATCAGTGGATAGCTCCAGTATACAGTATTCAAATTTCAGCAGGAAATCATACTTGGTCAAGCGGGAAGAATTCATTCAGATTCATGCATTTTTTAAAAATGTATTTGGCATATCAAATAAAGTTCAAAGATACAGTTAAAGAATTTCAGTTTAAGGGATTTTAATATGATGCATGTTAAATTTATACACTGCATACATTAACAGACAAAAGAAATAAATTAATCAGTCCTGAAAGAGCACTCATAAAATGCCAGAACTGTGACAAGTGCAGTACAGATATAAAAGAATAGGAGAGAAAGGAAAGAAAAGGAAATTTAAAATAAAACAAAGAACAAAAGAAAAAAATAAAAGAAAAATGCAAAGCCGCCTTTCTCCTTATTTCCTAAGGTACTGATAATAAAGGAAAAGAGTATAAGAGTATCACCAACTTCTCTGAGCAATTACAGATCATGAGAGCTCCCCTGCAAACATTCAGCCCCTGCTGGTGCCCACTGAGGAACCCTGGCCTCAGCGTATCCAGGCAACAGGGTCTGCAGAGACCCTTGGTGGGGACAAAGTTGGCTTTAAGCAGTCTTCCATGTCTAACAACCTGGCACAGCTTTATTAGCTCAGATAAAAACACAATTAAGCACATTTACTTGCTCACCAGTGTACAGCGAGGAATGAGAAAATGAGGTTTGTCCTTGCTGCTGGTATTTGGTGCATGCAAGCTGTAAATAACAGGCAATCACACAACTACCATTCCGGAGAGGGGGGGAAATGGAAAAGAAAAAAAATTCTGTTTAAGAGCATCATTAGAAGAGCACACTGTATACAGAAGCCTTTTAGCAACAAAAGATGCAAGTGTACTGGAAGCTATGAAATCAAGAGAGAGGACAGTGATTTGTGGGCTTCAGGGCAGGGAAACTGAAATGAGGTGACCAAAACCTAGCTGGGCTTCTGAAACCTGAGCATCAGTAGGATTACACCACTGTGAGACAAAGCAACCAGCAACAATTATGCTGGTCTGTCCTGCTGGATGTAATAGTGGCTAGAGAAGCAGATTTCTAAGTCATTACCCATTAAGACTCCTTATTTCAATAAAATTGAACTTTTAAGGAAAGAAAAGTGACAAAAGATTTCAAAATATCACCAGCTTACTCACCACAGTTATATCTCTATTTCTTTTTATGTTGTGACACCTAAGTGTTCATCTGAGTTTATTCAGCAATCCTAAAAAAACCTAGATATGGATTTGTTTGGTTTAGCAGTACATTCATGAAATTGGATGAAAGTTGAAAACAGTTACAGCAAAATATATTCTAAATCATTTTTAGAAAACAAGTACCAATCAGTGAGATTTTACAAATATTATGAGGAACAGAAGAAACATCAATAACTACAACGATTACAAGGGTCACTGATCCTATACTTTTTTTTCCCCCAATAATTTATTGATGTAACTAAAAGAAACATGAAATGCCAGAATAGAACTCTGTCAGTTCTCAGCAGTGCAAGATTTACTAGTAATCTTTTAAATACCTTCTCATTTAGTTATTAAAAAATTTCCAAAATATTAATGCTGCCCAGAATGGAAATAATAAAAATGTTGATTATATATAATATGTAGCAAACTCAATTTCAGATAAATACAACAAATAGAAATCTTATAATGGTCTGCACTGAATAAAATACATGTCATAAAATAATGCAAGGCTATTAGTTTTGTAAACATTGCTTCTTAGGTGAAACAAGCTGGCTTTTTTCATGGCAGCACTTTCTAAATTAAAGTATTTGTAACAGAATTTGCACTGAAATTTTAAAACTAAGTGTTATGGGTTGGGGATAAATAGCCACTGCTTAAAAAAACTCATAAAAATACTTTGCCAAAAGATGCCACAACCGTTTCTAAATTCATGTCAACATCTCTACAGCATTGCTGGAATCAGGGAGGGTATGCTGGAAAACCTTCTTTCTCTGCCTTTCTTGTACTTTTCACTAGGCAGCTGCTAATAAAGCATCAGGAAAAGGATAAAGCACTGGCACAAGCTTCTGCACTGCCAGCAGGTCAAGGGAGATGGTCCTGCCCCCCTGCTCAGCCCTAGTGAGCCTTGAGTGCTGTATCCAGTTCTGGGCTTCTCAGCACAGGACAGACACGGAGCTCCTGGAGCAGATCCAGTGGTGGGCTCCAAAGGTGATGAAAGGACTGGAGCATCCCTCTTAGGAGAACAAGATGAGGGAACAGGGCTGTTCAGCCTGGAGAAGAGATGACAGAGGGGATCTCATCAATGTCTGTCAGTATCTGAAGGGAGGTGTCAGGAGGATGGAACAAGGCTCTGCTTGGTGGTGCTGAGCAATAGGACAAAACCAGGAACAGATGCCCAAGAATTCCACCTGAACATGAGGAAGAAATTTTTACCAGTTCACCGGAACAGGTTGCCCAGAGTGGGTGGGGAATCTCCCTTAGTGGAAATGTTCAAGAACTGTCTGGACACAATGCAAGTGCCATGTGCTTTGGGATGATCCTGCCTGAGGAGGGAGGTTGGACCAGATGACCCACTGTGGTCCCTTCCAACCTTGCCCTTCCAGTGATTCTGTAACAATACGTGCCTGTGTTGTTCCCATATGGTATGACAATCATTATTAATTTAATTTCTCTTTAGATCATTATTATTTCATAAGGATGGAGCAAATTTATCTCAGGGGCATGTTTTTGTGTAGTAGGTACTTTGAAAACCAGCACAAAGATTTTCTCTGCATCAGTAACACACTCATTGCAGACACACTCTGTTAAAGGTAATTCTAATTCACCCTATGTCAAAAAGGCATTACACAACCCTTTACAGTTGGGCAGTGATGTTCCAACAGCCTTTGCCTTTAGAGGTCCCAAAAATGGACCTAAGCAAGAATTAGTTTCACAGCCACAAACATTAGTTTTTACTTCTTATTTAACAGAAGCAAAATTTCTTACAGGTCAGAGGGAGGAAGTCAGTCTCACCAGTTCTCCTTGCTATGGCTGTACAAGGGGAAGCTGTGAGTTTCTAGAATAGCGTGATAAACATGGAAGGAAATAAAAAGAGAGGCAGAGTCCACAGTGGAAAGAAAGAACCATAGAGGCTAAAGTGGCACACAAGAAAAAAAGGGAAGAACTGTAAAATGAGGAGCTAGAAGTCTTTGTAGAGAACCCTCCCCTGATGACCAGCAAATACCTCTTTTGCCACATAGCAAATTAATTCTGACAACAGCTGATGGCCACAGTCATAAATTCTTCTGTACTATATCAGACAGTGCATATTGTGCTGTGTATCTGAAGAAACTCGTCTTACTGGTTATCTGAATAGAACAGTGATGCAATGACACCTTAAAAGGAAATATTTGGCACCTCAAATTACAATATAAAATAAAAGGTTGCTTACTTGAGCCATAAATTCTCTGTGCTTAAATTCACTTTTGTGAGACAAAAGGCAAAGCAGTTGCTTAACCTGGCATGCTATTGTTTAGCTAATTTCATAAACCACTGTGAATCCTTGATCGTGATGATAAACACCAAAGAAACCCCATGAGGGAAATTAATAATTCTGTATAAAGTGCAGTAATTCGATGGTGTGTAAAAAAATACAGCACCACTACTTAATGAGGAGCATAATGAAGAATCATTTAGTAGTTCCCCATTTAGTAAATGTTCTCTCCCCTGTGCAGTGGTGAATGCTAAGGTTTCATAGAGAAGTTTACAGTAAATTATTATGTAATTAATGGCCACAGCAATGAATTACAAAAATGACACCGCAAGAGAAATGAATGGTGACTTTAATTATGCCTTCTTTCTAACTTTAATGTTTGAATTCAAAACCTGAAGGCTCTTGTTCCAGGACTTTACATGTAAATACTAAGTCAATTATTTGAAATACTTGGTCTAACACTAAGAACAAGACCAAAGAGCACACACATATTTTGGATTAATGTACATATTTGTAGCATACTTGTATTGCATTCAGGTTTACACAGCAGAGAGAGAAAATTACCAAGAACTCGGTTGAGTTTAAGAGGGAAAATTATGCTTTAAGGTTTGTACTTACCATCATACACTCTTCAGTCAGGAAATGACCTTTAAGTGTTTTTGTTCTTTTTTTTTTTTCCTTTAGGGAAATATTTAAGATGGCATAACCATGTATTCAATAAAAATATTTAATAGCTATATATTTTTTTTTTTCTTAGATATCCCTACTGGGTCCAGAAATAAAGTTTGTGTAAAGAGCAGTCCTTCTGTAATTTATGGACTCTCAATATGTTTCAGTTGGATGGGAAAGCCCAGTGGTGAAAACAGACCAAGGCATGGGTTAATACCACATAAGAGTGCAGGCAGACTGTAAGAAAAATATTATATCTGAGGTATGTGAAAGCAGAAACTTGAGTGAGTAGCTACTGCTTTTGTGTGCTATAAAATGGAGGATTATTTTTTTTTAAGAAACACAAGATTTTTGTTTTATTTAGTTTAGCTGTTTCTTTTGCCTCTGCAATAAAACTCCCTGTGCATGTGTTGATCAGAAAAATAGATGGCCCATCAATTGAGCTGACAGGGTTACTACTTTTTACAGTTCCACCCATCAGCTTTTTTCAGTCCTGTGTAAACACCCATATAAGACGTGGCATTATCAAATATTTTCAGTGAAAAACTTTAGAATAGTGTACTTTAGAATACCTTATATATAAAAATGATTTAACAAGATCACAACACTTTATAACTGAAATTTCTTTGATGAGTTATGTACATTAATTCACTCTTTTATATTAATTCCCTCTTTGCTTATTGTCCTTTGGTTTAGAAGCAAAGACAAAGATAAGTTAAAAACTAAACTGGATTTCATTCTTTTTCTTATTTAAATTAAATATGGATTATTTTCTTCTCATTCTCATATTTGATAGTCCAATTTATAGAACATTTTCATAAAATTTAAAGGTTTTGGGTTTTTGGGGGGGGCATATTTTTGATTGGTGCAATTCCTCTCTAAATCCAAATTTTTGAGCTCACTACAAAATTGTAATAAATATCCCTGAAGAATATCTGATATTCAACTATTTTTTTAAAATAAGAAAACTGCCTCCATGTGCACACAACTTAAAAACATCTAGTTTGGGAATCAGCTTTCTTAACTCCTCTTTTCTGTCTCATATATACCATAAAACAGTCTAGGGTTGACGATGACCTCAAAAAGTCATCTGGTCCAACCTCATGGGAAAAGGAATGTAAATGAGATTATCTGTTCATCTGCAGCTTGGAAACTTCCAGCAATGAGGACTCATCTGTGTCCCTGAAGTAGTTGTTCCAGGGGATGAGTTCTTACTGCAAAAATATTTCTTGTGTTGAGACAAAACCTCTCCTTGGTGAAACTTGTACATATCACAACTTGTCTTCTCCGTGAAGACTCCATCAGCTTTGTATCTGCCTTTAAAGTACTAGAAAACCATGAAGAGGTACTCCTAAGTCTCCTCTCCAGGAACAGCAAACCTAACACCTTCCCCATTGTGCAGGTTACCTTGTTTCTTTGTTCATAAATTTTAAAATTTAAATATCTGTTTTGTTTTGAGTCATTTGATTTTTGACATTCATCTGCAAACTTGTACACTATATATCCCTGCCAGCTGAGCTGCTGTTAGCACCAGACAGATCTATAACTTCACTCAGGATTTATGGAGGGAATAAGACAATGAAACACCAGTAAATTACCAAAAGCAAGTGTCCACTGAAATGAAACTGAATAATCTGAAAAAAGGAAGAATATTTTCTTGTTATAAAAAGTCTTTAATCAAGCAACAGCCTAAAATGCAAACTCTTCAGATGACACTTGTCACTACAGAATCATCAATCAAAACATTCGTCTTTGACCCAAGAGAAGACTCTGTCTTCATCAAGCAGATAAATCCATCCTATTTAGCTTACTTTTTTTTTTTCCCCTTTAAATAATACATTTGGTCTAAAATAGATCATTCTCAACTTAAAGAGAGGAGGATTATTAATCAGCTGGTAGTAGATCAAGACTTTTTTTTTTGAGCAATTTTTACATTTTATAGGCCTAGAAATATATGAAAAGGAAATATATCAATGTGGTGAACTAGAATCAGATATATATATTCAGTCATAACACAATCACACCCAAATTTATATCCTTATTCACTGACAGTTACAGACTTTGGTACAAACTGACCTGATGTTAGGAACAAATCAGAACAGACAGAAAATTTTGGAAAAATGAAGTCCAAGACCAGTACCAAGTGTAGAGAGAATTCAAAGCAAAGCCTTCCTTCTCCAGACATCTGCTGATAGAAGAACCATGGAGAAGACAACTAATGGAGATGGTGTATCATGAACTTTACAGGGAAAAGCAACTGTTTATGGCATGTACATCAACATTAATGCCACACATAAAGAGAAAAAAGTACTTTTTAGACATAACAGATTGATTTTATTTTTAGATATTGATGTGCTGTTCTAGGTTATTCTTTTTGAGATTATGCAAAGGTTTGGAGAAATGAACATAACTTTCAGACATCTAAGGGTATGACCATTCAAGAGCTTTGCACTCTGAAATGGGTGTTATGGTTTGCCCTCATTTGTTCTTCTGAAGCCTCCAAGGGCAGCAAAATTGTCAGGACTGTTTCTTGTAATTACTGATTAACTTATGAAGTTCTTCCATTATAGTTGCCAGCCAAAGACCTAAATACTATAAATCACTTTCCTGATCCAATGTTCCTCAGTTTTTCTATTTTCCTCTCCCCAAGGAAAAGGTTTATGATGCAAAGGAGTTTTGTCTATCTTGCTCTACCATCTTTTTACTCCCATGAAACCACAGCTAATTTTCCTCCATGAATTAATATCTTCAGTACACACCTGTCACTATGGAGACACTTGATTAATGCTTAACAACTTAAGCAGCTCTAGTCTGGATGACTTTCTAGGTCTAAATTTGGCATAGAAATCCCCTGCCAATTTCCAACATGCTAAATATTGCATGTTGTGACACACCTGTACTTAATATCAGGTGCACTGGCCTGTTTGCTGTGCACATAAATGCCATTCTAATAAAAACCTTTTAAATTTACTAAAAACTCCCAATAAATTTGGGGGTTAGAAGACTATTAAGAATTTTAATTTGTATCTTCACTAAGAACTTCTTTCTGAACACCGAAATAGTAAATTACATGTGGACACAGAACTGGAAAACTTAAAATAAAACATACATAAAAGACAAGTCCAAAAATAGTATTTCTTTGGGAATAACAACTTTAATGTGAAATAATATTCTAATATATTCCACGGCATGCATTCAGGAAAATTTGACATTTTAATATTTTGGGGGTGGAGCTTATAGAAATACCTGAAATGGATATATTTAATGTGGTAGATGTACAGGAGTAGGAAATACTGCATGTAGCACAGCCTCTCTTCCATTAAAAGCAGTGAATTTTCTCTTTTTTAATTTTTCATTTTGTATTGCATAACCCCTTTAGAATTTGTTCCTAATGAGATTTCACATCTCTGCAAGCTGCAATAATTTGTTTGTTTAGATATGTACTCAAAATCTGTTAAAACATTTCATTTCAGACAAAGGATCCTACATTAAGGAGTCACTCAGGCTTACAAACTTTCTAAGGTGGGAAAGATTTATTTTCAGGATTTATTGAGAGATTTACTGTCCTATACAAGTAGGACTGTGATATGTTTTTAGGATGAAAATATGAACCTAGACAATGGACAGAAAGTACCTCAGCAGAAGAATGCAAAATTCTGCCTCTAGCTGTACAAGTACCTAAGAATTACCCTCATTTGGCCAGTACTAAAAAAAAAAAAAAACAAAAAAAAACCCACCAACAAAAAACCCCAACAAAAACAAAACAATAAAACCAAACAAAAGTAAAACAAAGAAAAACACACACACACTCCAACCCACCCACCCACAAATAAAACCTCTTCATATTAATCTTTATTTTGAAACATTCTTACTAAGGTCACTTTTTTGAAAATATTCTTCCAGATTTGTGTAAAATTAGTATCTAGGTTTACTCTAAAGTGAATATCTGGAGTCAATATCTGGAATGAACTCATCCAGATATCCTCACCCACATATTTAAAAATTTCCTTGTTCATTAAAACTACTGTGAGAAATCTGAAGAAGCAATTTTTGAGCACAATGTATAGACATTGCAAGGTGAGAGTAAAAAAAAACTGATGAGTTTAAACCAAGTAGGTGTTTTTTTACATGTAGACATTATGCACTGCCAAAATTTGAAACTTCCCAGAAAGGGAGAGAATAATAATAAAACTATTGTCTTCTTTCCAAACATATCCACTCCTAAAGGAGCCCTGCCTGGAGCCCTACACAGCTGAGCTTGTTTATTAATGCAATCTTTGTATGACAAATTAGGTCAGCTGCATAAATTATTGAACAAACTCACATTCACTGAAGTGATAAGAGTTTGCAATAAGCAGATGAAAATTGCGTGTTTTTTTCCCAAGGTGTTTAAGATTTTTTTTGTAGCTTTCCTGGTAAGTGGCTAACATCTGTATTCACCTCACAGAACTTGTATGATGACATATATAAAATATCCTGAATTTCCATCTGAAACCTACTAAACTGTCCAGCAGTTTATCATCATTACAGCTGAAATAATTCCTGTAGATATCTCTCTTGCCTCTTCTCCGGTTTCTGTACATCAAGAGAAACTGTAGTGCCCCTATTAGCAAATTGCTATCATTGCTCTTTTTCACTTAAAAAACCCCTAAAACCTCAATTCAATGTTCTGCAGCAAACAACTATGTACATCTTATGACATTTATACTGTAAATAAGACCATAAGTGATTGGTTAAATGTTTGGGACTTGCCACAGTGGTTTGCTTTTTTAAAGAAAAACTTCTGTTTTAGTTCCTTGAATATCAACACTGACAGTCATAATTCTAAATTGTAGCTTTCTTTTTCAATCTCCCTCTTAGATAAAGGGCACGCAGATATCTTAAAACCTCTCCTCTCCTCTCCTCTCCTCTCCTCTCCTCTCCTCTCCTCTCCTCTCCTCTCCCTCTCCTCTCCTCTCCTCTCCTCTCCTCTCCTCTCCTCTCCTCTCCTCTCCTCTC